CTTGCTGTGGCTCCTGTAACCCCCGACTCTGTAACCCCCATGAAATGACTGGGCGGGACTATGCAGATAGGGTGTATGGAGTTCGAATGTGGGGATTGGTCAAGTTGGCCATCTGCTGAGTTTAAAATGAGCCGCCTCAGAAACAGAAATAGGGATCTTACTACCATCAAGAGAGAGAAGAGCCAGGAATGGAGTTGGCCCTTTGGACCCCGAGATCCCCGTGTGCTGAACTTCCGCAGTCCAGGAGACAGAGGGCTGTGGCTACCGAGGAGAGACAGAGGAACAGCGGCAGCAGAATCAAGAGCATCAGAGTGGTGGGCTTCCTGGCACCTGGAATGAGAAAGCTGAGTGCCTTTGGGCCGGGGGCTCCCCTAGGCACTTAATCAGGGGGAGCTAAGTTTGCCAACCCCTGCAGCCAGATATGAATGCCTTCCGTGTGAGGCTTCCTGGCGAAGTGGAGTGCATTAGGAACCCTTATGGGCATTGCCTGAACAAGGTGGAGGACAAGGAGCCACAGGGCTGGGCTGGGAGGCCGAGCACTGGAGAGGAAGCCGCCTGTGGGCATGGCTGAGACCAGCAGGTATGGCTGAGAAGAGGCTGCCCTGACTGAACAACTGTATCGTGAGCCTTTCTTATCCTGAATTGTAAATTGCTAACTCCCTAATAACCCCCCTAATGTCTGTGAGTTCTGTGTGGCCATTGCAATGAATTGTTAAACACACCAGAGAAACAAAGAATGCCTTGGGAGGGATAGTTGGTGTCAGAACAGGCAAAGGAGATTTATCCTGTCTGATCTCTGAGGAATAGGCCTTGGGCTGATGTTGGCTCTGATTTTTAACTTTCCTCGCTGCCCCCGCACCCCCCGCAACACCATTGTTCCCCTTGTAAAAGAACCTTGGGTGCCTATTCATTAAGTCCCTGAATCTTGGAACTTGAAGGTGGGAAGGGTCATGTTTCTCAATTTCGCCTACTAGAGTCATCTGTGGACATCAAAAAGAAAATGCTGATGCCCAGGCCCCATACCCGGTCAATTAATCATTGCCAGTAGGGCCGGTACCTCTGTGATGTTCAAGAGTCAACATGAGTAATGGTAGTGGGCAGCCAGAGTTGAGACCCACTGGTGCCCAGTCCCACTTGGAGCATGGATGCCCCACCTACTGGGACATGTTGACTGGGGCTGGCTCATGACCTCCAGGCTCTCCTCAAAGCCCAGACACTTATCCAGCTTGATTCTTTTTTTAAAGCGTACTTCAACTCCTGTCTCAGTCAGAATTCTACACACACACACACACACACACACACACACACACACACACACACGCAGTTTCAGAGAGCTTCCCCCAGGCTTCCAAAGACCCACAGCAGCGCCTACCCCATGGGGTCCCTGTATCATAAAGGACTGCCACTGAGTGGATTCCCACTCACAGCGACCCTATAGTGCAGGGTAGAACTTGCCCTGTGGGTTTCTGGGCCTGTACATCTCGGTGGGAGTAGATCAGCCTCTCCTTTCTCCCACAGAGCGCTGGGGGTCTCGAACTGCTGACCTTGGGGTTAGCAGCCCCATGAGTACCACTACACCACCAGGGCTCCTCTATTCCAAACCCAACCCAACTCGTTGCCAGCGAGTCCATTCTGACCCATGGCCATCCTGGAGGACAGGGTAGAAAGCCTCATCTTTTCCCCTGAGAGCAGCTGGTGGTTTCAAACTGCTAAAGTTGAGGTTAGCAGTCCACATATAACCCTCTACTCCACCAGGGCAACTGTCTTCTCTATACTAAGAAGGGGTTTATCTTATCCCCTCCCCAAATTTAATTTTTCTCTCATACCCCCATCACCATACGCCTGCCTTTAAGAAGTACAAGAGGCTAGGGCAATCAGCACATTTGCATGTGCTTGCTATCCTTCAATAAGAGCTCCGGTGGCGTAATGGGTACACATTGAGACTGTGACCCCAACGACCGCAGTTTGAAACCCCCAGCCGCTCCAAAGGAGAAAGACGGGGTTTTCTACTCCTGGGAAAAGTTATCGTCTCAGAAACCCACAGAGGCAGTTCTAACCCTGTCCTATAGGGTCCCTGAGTTGGCATCGGCTCGATGGCGGTGTTTGGTTTCTGGTTTGGCTAGCCTGCAGCTTCAAACCCAGCATGTTGATTGAACTAGCTTTCAAGAGAAGAGGAAGGGCCATCCTGCAGGGGGAGGAGGAGGAGGAGGATGACGAAAGACCACTCGGTGGGGCTGGGGAGGAGCCCTGGTGGCTGAGGCCGCCTCCAGGCCGGTGCACCCAGCTCCTGGGCAAGGGACCTCAGGCTTTGCTTCGCACCAGCTGGTGGAGCCATTGCCCTCCCTCTTGCGGCTGCCTTCCTGAGCCCCTGCCCAGTTGCCAGTCCCCCCTTTGTTCCCCCTGAGCTGTCCGCCCTCCTCTCCCGGATCTGCCAGCCCGGCTCGATCAGCACACAGCCTGTCATTTGGAATGTCACATTGTCATAGCCACAGGACCGCTTGAGGTCCAGGGTGGGGAGGTGACCCTCTCAAGGTCACACGGCCCAAGCAGCCCCCTTTCAGTTCACCCCGACCCCTCTCGGCCCCATCATGGTGGAAAATCATTTTTGATTGTTCCCTGCCGGGGTTACAGTCTCAGAGCACCCCCCTCCCTGCCCGGTCCCTTTCTCTCCGGACCTGGGGAATACTCTGGGCCTACAAAGGACCCAGCAGGGTGGACACAGAAGACGCCACAGGCCTGCAACGTGGGCGAGCCATCCGGGCTGCTGTTGGCGCTTGCGCCAGTTTCAAGCTGGCAGAGGCTTTTCAGAGAGAGTCCGACCAGGGGAGCGCCCCTTTATTGCCAAGACTTCTCTGTTCTTCCGCTGACAAGTGACTGGCCCCACTCCCAGGCACCAACCTTGCCCAGACCCGTTCCCGTGACCTGCTAGGAGCCACCCCGGGGAGAGAAGGTGCATTTGAGTCATGTGTTCACAGCAGCTGTTGCCTTTTGCTAATCAGACCCTTGCCGGTTCTCAAGAGGAAGGTTGTAGAACAAGTGGGGAGCAGGCATCATGCGTGCACCGCCTAGGAGACAGTCCCCTGTGGTCTGAGGAGAGAGCCCCTGGAAGGGCTTTGCTGCTCACTCTCTTGGGAGTATTCTTGCCTATGCTGTGAGGAGCGGGCACCCCATCCCCTCCCTGGCAAAGTGCCTGGAGCCACCTCACTCTTCTCCAGGACTTGGGCTCTCGTTTGCCAGTGCCTCAACATGACCGTATGGCCCTTGTACATACGACTCCCTGCGCTCATCCGTTCCGATTCTTGATGACCCTATGGGGCAGGGTAGAACAGCCCCTGGGAATTTCCAGGCTGTAAGTCTTTCTGGGAGCACAAAGCCTCCTCCTCCCCCTTCAGAGGGGCTGGCGGTTTCAAACCACTGACCTTGCGGTTCACAGCCCAACTCAAAACCACACTGCCGCCAGGTCCCTTGTAAATAGGCAGGTGTTGCTCATATGCGGCTGCTACCCGGCCAGACACTAGACTCTTTGGTGGCTCTTTTTGGGGTCTTTAGGGGTATAGTAAGTCAGGGGTGAGACACTCTCTCACACACTTTTCGTGTCTGGAGGTTCTGTTAGGAGAGCAAGGGAGCCGGTCACCATTGGGTGTGTTTTATGTGGTTGCCAACTCTGATTGGTTTCCCTCTCGCCTCGTCCCCTCTCTGCTTTCCTCCCACATGGAACCAATGACTCGCTCATCTTCACACAGTGCCATCAGCAGACTGCCTTTTTGTTTGTGTGTCTGTTTTCTAGAACAGAGGAGCTATGTTATTGCGAAGGGCTGCTGTGGGGGGCAGTATCTGACCTGGATGGACCCAAAGCGCTCGAGTGCCGCCCGAAGGTTGGCAGTTCGGACCCACCCAGAGGCGCCTCGGGAGCCAGCCTGCCAACCTGCTTGCAAAAACCTCACAGATGAGTTCTCTGCACAAGTGGGGTCTCTGTGAGTGCCCCCCTCAACTCCAGAGCAGTCTGGACCCGTGTGTTCATGGTGCATGCCACTTTAAATCTTAAAGTCGTTTGCAGGTATTAGTGTGTTATGCAATAGCAGGAACTTGACTTTAAAAATAATTCTTTCCAAATGCAAATTGAGTTGTCAAGTTCTCATCCTTTGAGTTAAAATAGTCGCCGTGCCATTTCTGGAGAATCTGGGGCTCTGAAGCCCTCTGTGCCAAATGCTTAATTGTGTGTGCTTCCACGGTGTTACCCCTCTCTCAGCCCCAGAATCAAAACGCAGTGCTGGAGAAGGATTTGTTGATCCTTATACCAAATAGTGGGACATATGACCGCTCAATACTAAAAGTTTTTTAGCCCTGTAAAGCACTGAGCTTGAATAGCCCATCTTTACACTCGGCGACCATTAAAAACACAAGGAACTCAAGCCCAGGGGACTCCTTAACAAGGTTCTTTTTGAAGAATAATATTCCCTATAAGAACCCAGAGGCTCCTGCATTTTGCCGGCACTGACTCGTGCAGCTTGAAGGCGATCCGGGTGGATAGAACAGTGATTCCTTAAGTGAGCAGTCCCATCCCAGGGGTGGGTGCTGATGGCGTTGGAGTGATTCGGGGACGCTGCCAAAGCAGATACCTACACTTGGTTCTAGATTATGGGATAGAATACAGACGTCATATCCATTGCCAGGAAGGCACTGAGTCATTTTTTTTTTTTTCTGAAAGAGTTAGGCCAATGCAAAAAAAAAAAAAAAGAGTTAGGCCAAATAAGTTTGGGAGAACCTGTGAGGTAGAAGAACAAAACCCCTACCAGAATCAACCAAACTATTGTACTTAATAGGTGACCTCTGCACACCTGGATAAGTACCACTGTGCAAGATCATTGGTTTTGTTCTGCCTAGTGCCACCCGAAGTATCTAGATGCACAGTATTCTCTCTCTCTCTCTCTCTCTCTCACACACACACTCACACACACAGAGAATCCCCTCAAATGCAAAATGAAAATGAAGAAAGCAGGTCATTTCAATACCTTTTTATTTGAGTGTGAAACCATTCATATCTTGCACAACTGTACAGATAAAACTATTTCCCATTTTAGCTGTAGACATGATTATCACACTGAGTGGTGCGATCAAAGGCTTTATTATTTACAGAACAATTGCTCAAACATCCGATGACATATTCCCATTTATTTCTTACCCATAGGGTAATAGGTCCACCATAATTGCTTGGTGCATTTTATAATACAGAAAGAAAACCTATGTTAATCGCTAACAAACCTCACAAATGGCTACAAATCTGACAGAAAAAAAAAAAGCTTATGAAAGAAATTTTCCCAAAAGTACAGTCCAATTTTATTTCCACACATACACAGTATAGTATAGGCTCAAAGGCACAGCTTTGATTTTCTCTCTCTCTTTCTCTCCTTCACAAAGTGTCGGTTAGTATCACGTCTGATGAAGGGACGTGAAAGTCACTTTCACACTTGGTGCTGGGCAAGTTGAAAGTTGGGCCCTTCCAGTTTGAGAAAAGTTAACAAGGCAGAGCTGAGGGCGAGGCCAGGGGCCACCAATCCACATCCTCCCAGAACTTCGGAAACCCCTCTCGTGCCTTCTCCTGACACCAGCCATTGGGCAACAGTGAGCACCAAGACGTGGGTGTGGAAAAACTGACCGGTCCCTACAAACCTCGGATCACCTGCAGGCCACACCGCACAGGCCTCTGCTCTTTCGAGATTGTCTGCAATCCAAGAGAATGCGGGGACACTGACAGGCATGGTGGGGTGAGGGTGGAGCTCTAGAGCCTCTGCACCCCCCCACCCCCACCCGCCTCCGTGTATCCCGGGTGCTCCAGGAAGCTGGGATGACACCGCCAGCTAGAAGGGAGGGGGGAACAGCACGTCCGAGGGTTGGTTCGTGGTAGAGTGAGATGACCAGATGGATGGCAAGGTGAATGGTCAATTGCGTGTCCATCCCAGAACCCAAACTGGTATCTACCCTTCAAGACTACGGGGCTTTGTGTCAACTGGAAAATCGGTCGCTGACTGGAGCTGGTTGCCAACACGAAGCCAAGCCATGGGACTGTGGGAAAAGGGGGTTGCACACTGGCCTGCCTGAGACAGTGCTTCTGGGGAAACCACCCTGGCAGCTGTGGCTACAGGAACCCAAGCCGGCCACCTGAGAGGGAGCCCAGCCTCTGAACTAAACTGGTCGGCTGTCCCCACGTGGAAGCCCAGCTTTGCCCTCATTTAGGAAAGCAGATGCCCTGGCATAGCCCGTGAGCTACCATGTGTAGAGAATAAAAAGTCTTTGGGGGTGGGGGTGGGGTTTTAATTATTATTAATAATAATTATTAATATTAAATATGGATTCCTATGCGAGCAGTCACTTAGCCCATCCTGTGGAGGCCTCTCCGTTGATGTACGCAAAGCCGGGAAAGTGTTGCATGTGCTCGTACTCGGAGTTCCGGCGCGTGGCCAGGGGCGAGTACACGTCACTGGCGTTCCCGTACCTCGTGGAGTGCACGGACGGGCTGGTGTAGCATGCGTTGGCTGCGGGAACCTCTGGCCACCGGGGCGTGACGGGGGTGGGGTGCAGTCTGGGAGTGCTGCTCATCAAGCAAGGCTCCATCCGGGAAGTGGGGCTATTGAAAGGGTACTTGTAGAGGGGAGAGAAAGTTAAAATTAGCTTCATGTCGCAGACACGCGGTCTCAGCCACGCTCATCAGACGCGGCTTAAGGGGTTTCAGTCATGAGAGCTCCTGGGAGGACATCAACCCACTTCTGTACGATTGAGCCTCCTTCTAGGGATGCTGTCAGCAGCAGCGGAGAAGCGAAGGGCTGCAGAGCCCAGGCTGGTCTTTGAGCTCCCGATCCGGAATGTCTCAGGAAGTCAAATCCACAAGAGGAGCTCCTTGGGGATACCGGAGTGTGTGTGTGTGTGTGTGTGTGTGTGCTCTCTCTCTTTCTCTCACACACACACACACACACACACACCCAGAAGGGTGCCAGTGGTTGGCATAGTTCCTTCTTGCAGTTAGTGATGGAGATGCGATCGGCCCCACTCCATCAACCCAAAGGAACAATACTGCCAACTCAAACACAATGGCACTATTAAAAATAGCGTTTTACAGTTGAATTCAATTATGAACTGCAGCCTAAAAGCAGGCTTTGGAAGAGGAAGCAAGTCAACAGACTGGAAGGTTATTATTAGTGCCTATCATTTAGAGAACAGCTTTGCACATTCACCGGCGTCCTCCAAGAGACTCGAGTGGGGAGCTGTGAGTGACTGGGCGTGGCGCGCACAAGCAGGGGTGCTTCTGTGCAGGAAGGAGGGCTACTGGTGTGGGTCGCTCCAAAAGGAGGGGAAGCCGCGCTAGCAAAGGTAAGGAATGTGGGGAACAGCGCCTAAATTGCTGCTGCGTCTCTCTTCTTGTCTGCTACCCGGACAGCTGTGCCAACCAGGCCCCTCTTGGTACAGTCGAGGCACGGGAGATGAAGGGCCACTGTGACCTCCCTTCAAGACCTGCTGGTGAGAGGACCAGTCTGAACAAAGTCATCCTTGCTGTTTGAAGGGCCACCCTTGCCAATGAAGGGAGCCACGCAATGTGGCCAAGCAGTAAGCAGAGAATCGTGTGTGTGTGTGTGTGTGTGTGTGTGTGTGTGTGTGTGAATTCTTCTGTTCCCCATCTGTCTTCCCTGACAGTTGGAGAGTGGAGCCCCGAGAGAAGAGGTGGGAGGGAGACAGACTGCGGCCTAGACAGCGGGAGACGGGTCATGACAACAATGGATGCTCTCCGTCGCCCAGGTGGCCAAGGGGAACCCCCGCTCTGCATCTTGGAGCGGGAACCCAAGAGGCTCAGGGCATGGCTGCCAGGCCTGGAGCGTGCCAGCAAAGCCGGCCACTCGCGGGCCTGGGGTGAGGGGCCCATCGTCTAGGAGAGAGGGCTGCTGTTTTCTCTGAGATCGACCAGCAGGCCCCGAGCGGCCAAGGGCAGCCACTTCAGAGTCAAAAGCACAGCCAGGGAAGGGCGAGCAGGGTGTAGGTGGTACCGAGAGATTCAAGAGAAACTGGCAGCAGCCAGGGCTGTTGCCAAGGAGACTGTGGATGGGCACTTGGAGGCTTTCATAATCCCTCTGCTCAGCTCAGAAATACGCAGAAATGTGCAACCCCCGTGGCTTGCCCTGTGGGAGTGATGCGTCCCATTTACTGGACAGCGAGGGGCGATCCTCGGGCCTCGGCAGGGGGATTCCAGCACAGGGCCGGCCCTCAATTGCAAGGAGACAGTGGCAAGACTGCTCATCAGGCAAGATTTGGTCCCGGCCCGAGAAAGATGCTCCCAGTCATACAGATTCATCCATCTTATGCCAAGATGGTCGTAATTTCCCCCCAAGGTGCGTTCCCCTCTTGATAACTCTCTGAAGTCAGATCCCTAGGTGCATGTCCCTCCACCCCATGGCCCGCTGCCGGCTAGCCCAGAGGCCTCCTTTCCATCCCTATTACCTTCCAGACTGGTTCCCCATTCAGGTCCCAGCTCCCTGCACGTCTGGCTCCTTGTTCTTATTCTCATCTCAGCCAGGCCCCCTCCTCAGACATCCCTTGGGCATTCTATCATCAGAAACCAAAAAGTTCCACCCTCCCAACAAAGGTCAGTAGCAGCACCTGGTGGTGCAGGAGTTACACATTGGGCTGTTCGCTGCAAGGTCGGCAGTTCAAAACCACCAGCTGCTCCGAGGGAGAAAGACAAGGCTTCCTACTCCCTAAAGAGTGACAGTCTGGGAAACCCACAGGGGGGGTGGTTCTAACCTGTGCTGTAAGGTTGCTATGAGTCGGCATCCACCCCATGGCAGCGAGTTTGGCCTTTGGCTTATGGCTTAGGAAACATTCACAGGAGCCCCAGAAGATAGCGTACAAGCGGAAAATGCTTCACTCTAACCCTAACCCTGTTCAGGGGCTTCTCCGAGGGCTTGGTCACCCACCACTAAGTCTGCAATATCTGGAATGGTACCTGGCACTTCAGAGATGCTAAATAGCCATCTGGTGAGTGAGGGTGTTACCGCTAGCGAGACGCTTCCTCGGGGCGAACCCCCGTGTGTCCGGGAGGGTTGTGCTCCAGCAAGCGTCAGGTGGCTGTGCTCTCAGAAGTAGATGGATGCCGAGAGCTGTCTCCTGAGGCACCTCGAGGTGGCTCACACTTCTAACCTGTCAGTCAGTCACGGAGCACAATAACTTTTTGTACTCCTCAGCGCCTCCCGGAAGCAGCACCCACTGGGGCCGTGTGAGTCACAGGTGAAGAAAGAAGGTACCCGTGAAGGGCCCTGTCCAAAGTCACCCGGCAGATGAGTGGAAGAGCTGGCACCAAAAAACCCCACCCCAATCCCAGAGCGGTGCTTCTTCCCCACAGCCAGCGAGCTGATTCCCGTTAGGCGTGCCCTGCTGCCGTGACGTGGCATGGTGCCCACGGAGCCTCGGCGAGACTCCGGGTGACGGCAGAATGGGCCCCGCGAGGTTGAGGAGGGCGCGATCTTTGGAGGAGCACATCATCGAGTCTTTCTTCCCTGGGTCTGATGGGTGGGGGGTTTGATCTGCCAACCTTTTGGCTGGTAGCTGAGCGCTTCGCTGTGGAGCTACCTCCCCTCCTTAGGCATAACTTACCACTGCAAAAGCACAAAGAAGATGAGCGCGCGCACACATCACACCCCTTCCAGAAAAACCCAGGCTACTAAACTGGAGTCTCTTAAGCACCTTCCTCACCTACAGACCACCAGACAACCCAGCCAACCAAGCCAGTTGCCCTCAACTCAATTCCGACCCAGAGTGAACCGCTACAGAACAGAGCAGAGCTGCCCCGGAGGGAAGCACGCCGCCCCATCTCTCTCCACATCTTTGTCTTCTGGTGAGCAGCCTAGCACTTCCACCACTGCACCACAGGCCTACCTGCAGACCTCACAGTCTTTTGTTGTTGGTACACTTCCCATTTTCTTCTATTTATACAAAAACATTTTAAAATAGAATTTAAGAACCTCTCCAAGCACTGGAGCCTGGCTGTTTGCCACCGGGCACCCCACTGCCCTCTTTGTGATGTCCTTTGGTCCCCTTCCCCCAGGACGCTGCTCGAGGGGACTTAGGAGGTGGGGGGATAGCAGGGGTGGGGGGGAAGAATTTCTGGATTGTGGCCGGAACTGGTTTCACGTTGGGCGGAGGGAGGGGACGGTGACACAGGTCCCCTCAAGGGCCAAAGGCAGGACGAGGGCGGTAGAAAAACCAAGCAAGGCAAGAGAAGACCAAAATCAGAGCATTCAAACTCAAAACCTTCCATATGAAGGCGGCAGATGGGGCGGGGCAG